CTCTGTATTCTTGCTTTTCTGTTTTTTGCTTCTACGTTTCTTTGTTTGCTTCTCTGTTTTTTTTGCTTCTCTGCTTTTTTGCTTCTATTTTGTTTGTTTTTCGTTTCTGTTTTTTGTTCTATGCCTTGTGTGTGTTTTGCCTTTTTGTTTTCTACTTGCTTCCTTGTTGTTCTGCCTGATTACAAGCTCAGCTACAACTACATGAAGAACAGCACCAGCAGCACAAACAACAAGAGCAGCAAATACAAAAGGAACAACGAGAACAAGAAACGCAACAAAAGAAACAAAAACAACAAGAACAGCAAAAGAAAGAAGAACCAGAACAACTACAACGGCAAAGAGGGAAGTTGTCTCTCTGTTCCTTGGGGGAAGGCGCTGCGCCCCCCCCCATGGCCCCCTCCAGCTGTTTTTATTTTGTTGTTGCCTGCTTTCGGCTTTCGTTTTTGCCCCTTTGGATTTCTTTGCGTTGGAGTAAAAACAATGATGTACATGAGCTGGTGAAAAAGTTGAAGTTACACAATGCTTTAATTATTGACCCAAAATGGAGGTTGAAGTTCAAAAATGCTGCAAATATCATTTGCAAAATCCTGCAATACCATGCAACATGAAAGGGTCTATCTTCCAGATGGCAAATACCACGCAAATTCCGTTGTTTGTTTCTCTGCTTTTTTGGCCTTCATAGTTTCGCCAATTGTCATTCTGGTTGGCTTTGCAAAGCTCGACGGGTTTCTTGGCTTCACCAACAGCAACCACAACAGCAACAATAATAGAAACAACAACAAAAAAAAACTAAAACTACTACTACTTCTGCTACTACTACTACTCCTACTACTCCTACTCCTACTACTACTGCTACTACTACTACTACTCTCCTACTACTACTACGACGACGACGACGCCTATTACTACTACTACTACTACTACTCCTACTACTCCTACTACTCCTACTACTCCTACTACTCCTACTACTCCTACTACTCCTACTACTACAACTACAACTACAACTACTACTACTACTACGACTACGACTACGACGACGACGACGACTACTATTACTACTACTACTACTACTCCTACTACTACTACGACGACGACGACGACGACGCCTATTACTACTACTACTACTACTCCTACTACTCCTACTACTCCTACTACTCCTACTACTCCTACTACTCCTACTACTCCTACTCCTACTCCTACTACTACTACTACAACTACAACTACTACTACTACTACTACGACTACGACTACGAC